CTTCTCCTCCTTGGCTTTTTGGACCTCTTTTGCCATTTGGGTTAGGCTTTTTTTAAGGTGTTATTTTCTTCAGTATTTTTTTTGGGTCTCCTTTAGCAAGATGTTGACTTGTTTTTCATGATTTTCTTGCATCACTCTCATTTTTCTTCCTAGTTTTTCCTCTACTTCTCTTACTTGTTTCTCAAACTCCTTTTTGAGCTCTTCCATGGCCTGGGACTGATTCAGATTTTTCTTGGAGGCTTTGGATGTAGGAACTTTTACTTTGTTGTCTTCTTCTGGTTGTATGTTTTGATCTTCTTTGTTACCAAAGAAAGATTCTATGGTCTGACTTTTTTTGTGCTTTTGTTTGTTCATGATCCCAGCCAATTATTTGAGTTTTAAATTCTTTGTTAAGGTAGGGGTCTGCTTCCAGTGTGGAGAATGTACTGTCTCAAGCTTCAGGGACTTTGTGCAGCTTTTTTTTTTTTTGGCTAGGCAGTGGGGTTAAGTGACTTGCCCAGGGTCACACAGCTAGTAAGTGTTATGTGTCTGAGGCCAGATTTGAACTCAGGTCCTCCTGAATCCAGGGCCAGTGCTCTATCCACTATGCCACCTAGCTGCCCCTTGTGCAGCTATTTTCAGAGATACTTCCAGGCACCTGTAAATTTTCAGTTCTTCCAAGGTGGTATGATAAGGGACAAGGTGTTTACTCCTTTCCTGGCCTGTGCTCTGGTCTATGAGTGACCACAAGTGCTCTTTTCTACCTTGGAACTGTGAGGAAGATTCCCTCCGTATCACCACTACAAGCTCCACCACACTAGTGCTCTTTCTGTCCCCAGGACTGCCACCCAGAACTGTGACCCAGATCCAACCATGGGCAAAGCAAGAGAATCCTGTACCAGCAAAGAGATCCCTGCAATCCCCCTCTGATCAGCCACTCTATTCCCCTTCAGTCTGTGGGCTGGAAGCTCCAGAGGTAGTCGCTCTGGGGCCACGCTTTGGGACTGGGGCTGGGACCAAGCTGCTCTCCCTCACCACAGTCACAGACATTTCCCACTGACCTTCCACATTGTCTTTGGTGTTCGTGTGTTGAGAGGTTGGGAAACCACCACAGCTGTCCGTGATTCAGTCCTCTGAGGCCTGCTCCAGGTTTGCTGAGACCTGTTTTGCTTGTGCACCCATGTTGAACTGTGCTCCTCTCCCTGGCCATTATGATATACCCTTTCCAATCAACCATCCAGTCTGTCTTGGGCTAGAAATTTGTTTCACTTTGTCTTTTTTGTGGGTTCTGCTGCTTTAGAATTTGTTTAGAGCCATTTTTTAAACAGGTATTTGGAGGGGTTTGGAAGAGAGCTGAAGCAAGTCACTGCTTTTACTCTGCCATCTTGGCTCCACCCCTTCATAATATTTCTTGAATTAAATTGTTGAGTGCTTTTTTTTTTGGTCTATGCCTTTGATTTTATTGATCTAGGCAATCTTCAGTGAGAAAGCTTCCTCTTCTAGTACAGTTATGCAACTTATCCTCTTGGAGTGGTGTCTGGACACTGAGGGGTTAAGCCACTCAGCTAGGGCCACAGTGTTCTAGGTGGTACTTGAACCCAGATCTTCTGGACTTGAGCAATGGTCCCTTCTATCCACTATGACACAGTGACCTTTGACTATCAATTTTACCTATGAGGAAGCTCGGGCACAAAGAGGTTGTGATTTGCTAAAAGTCTCACAGCTTCTAAATGTAGGAGTTCTGATTAAAACTTAGGTCTTCCAAATACTAATAATATAGCTGGGATTTGAATCCAGGTCTTTTTACTCTCTTATATCAACATTATCTTCTCAAAGGAATAGTAATAGATGGTTATTAACAGCTTCTGGTTATCCTGCAGTGATGGGAAGCTTGCTGCCTGACAAATGGTATTCCACTTTTGGACAGTTTGAAATGTTTATTATATTTAGTGGATATCTCTTTCCTTGTAATTCCTCTTGTTTTCTAGTTCCATTCTCCAGGACTCAGTAATGCAATGGAAAGAGTTCTGGATTTAAATTTAGAAGACTTAGGTTTGGGTCCTGCCTTTGCCACTTATTGTTTGTGTGAACTTGGGCAAGTCATTTCATGTTTGTTAATGATATACCATTTGATTATTAATAATAATTTGTAATATTCCCTTTTCTGTAAAAAGACTAGCTTAGAGAGGAGCCCCTCCTCTTCTAGAGAATGCCAGAAACATTCCAGCTCTGCTCAAGGTATCTGAGGGGACCCACCCAACTGGGAAACCAAATTTCTGTTTAGAGTATAAAAAGAATCCAGTTCTCTCCCTGGGGAAACCCCTTCATTAGAGTTTAGGGCAACCCCAGCTCCTGAATGAGAAACCAAACCAGAGAGAACCTGGTTGGGCTGCCCAGATTGCTAGAGGGAGCTCAAAACTCATGACCAGACCACATTCTCAGCTGATGCCCCCGTTCCTACAGTGTGGTAATTTGGAAGGACTGGGCATTTCTAGCCCACTTTCTCATTGAATAGCCACCAAATCAGGGTTCAGTTTCACTTGTCAGGGGACTTCTCTGTCAGAAGGAACACACCTAATTTAAGGTGTTTCAGAGCCTTCCTTGGGGTCTTTGGTTACTAAGAGAAACTACTGACCCATCAATTTATTGATTAATGGCTAGCCTAGTTAAGAAATTGATTATTAATACCTGGAATCTTTGTCTCTTGGATTTTTACTCATGACACACACACACACACACACACACACATACACAAATACTTCAGTTTCTTCATCTGTAAAATGATGGAGTTGGACTAGATGAACTTTGTGGTTCATTTGAGCTCAGAATCTATGACTCTATGAATGATTTGGATGTCATTGGGGCTGTTACTTTTCTTCTTAAGCTGATAAAAATTCATTCACAAATCGCTACTTGCCATGTTTCCTTTGTTTTTACTTTGTTTTTGTTTTGTTTTTGTTTTGTTTTGGCAATTGGGGTTGAGTGACTTGCCCAGGGTCACACAGCTAGTAAGTGTCAAGTGTTTGTTCTGAGGCTGGCTTTGAACTCAGGTCCTCCTGACTTCAGGGCCAGTGCTGTATCCTGTGCCACCTAGCTGCCCCTGTTTTTACTTCTTGCCTAATCTCTGAATATATAGTTCATTGTCTTCATCCTACACTTTGTATGTATAGTAGCTTTAAAGTGCATGTTAAAGCAAGATGTATATATTGGGCTCTCTTTCCCCATCAATGAATGCAGTGGTGTGAGATACTAGAAATTAACTTCTTTTTCAGAAAGAATGGACTCACTCTGTGTGTGTGTGTGTGTGTGTGTGTGTGTCTATACAATGTGTCTGTGTTTTGACTGTTAGCTATATATAGGTCTGTTGCACATTTGTTCTATTTTAGATTGTACAGCTAAAATTCTTGGATGGCAGAGAATGTGTATATTAACCTGGTCTCCTACAGCATCTGATCTAGTGCTCAATAAATACCTTTAAATAGTATGCAGTACTGTTAATTTAATAGCATCTGACATTTTTTATTAATGACTTTAATGATTCCATAGATGGCATGCTTATCAAATTTGTGGATTATGTTAAGCTGAAATAAACCAAATTGGGATCCAAAAAGATCTCAATGGTCTGAAACACTGTACTGAATCTGATGAAATGAAACTTAACAGCCATAATGTCCTGCACTTAGGCACCGAGGCATGTACAGAATGGAAGGGGGTGGGGGAAGGAGTAGCTAGAAAGTGGTGCATGTGAAAACAGCCCAGAAGCTTTAGTGACCTCCCCAGTGTACTGAGGGAGATGATAATCCTGGTGTTCTCTGGCTGGTCACACAGAACTTAAAATAGCAGGTGGGAATCACATCTTAGGAAGGGCACAGGATGATGAAGGGACTAGAGACCCTGTGAAGCATAAGCTGAAAGAAATGGCAGTGTTTAACCTGAGGAAGGGAAAATTGGGGGCAGGAGGGGAGGCAAGAGATAATGGAGAATATGATACTAAAGATTTGACACTGGAAAGATGGATTAGCCTTGTTTTACTTCTCAGAGGGCAAAAGAACTGGGAGCAATGGGGTCAAAGTTTCAGAGAGGTAGATTTCTCCTACATGTAGGAGAAGGGGAAGAAAGGGAAGGGAATAAGCATTTCTTAAGCACCTATACTATGTACCAGGTATTATGTTAAACACTTTACAAATATTATCTCATTTGATTCTCACAAAAGCCCTGGGATGTAAGTGCTATTATTATCCCCATTTTTCAGTTGAGAAACTAAGGCAGACAGAGGTTTAAGTGACTTGCCTGGGGTCACACAGTTAATAAGTGTCTGGTGTCAGATTTGAACTCAGGTCTTTCTGACTCCAGACTCTGTGCCCCCTGGGAAAAAGATGTTTTAAGAACTAAAGCTGTTCAAAATGAACTGCATCAGAAGATAACGACCTCCTCATTTGTGGTAGAGTGGAAAGAGTCCTGGATTTGGAATCCCGGAGCATGAGTTCAAATTCCGGTTCTGTCACTACTTGTCCTTAGGCAGGTCACAGCCTTTCTGGGGCTCAGTTTCTAATCTATGTAGTTAGAGGATTGTACCCCATGACTCTTAAGGTTTCTTCTAGTTTTGAATCTATGATCCATCACTTGATCTCTAGCAGCAGGATGTGACCTATAATTCACTGATAACTATAACATGTAATAATACATTTCAAGAGAGAAGTATAAGCAACATGCTCTGAGAAGTCTGTGAAAAGAAAGGTCATTGGTTTCAGAGATGTCAGCTTGGCCTAGTGGGAGAAGGGCTATAATGGGAGTTAGCAGAGACTTGGGTTTGAATCTCTCCTTTTATACTATTTATGGGACCTCATGCAAATCATTTATCTCTAAATTCTGTTTCTTCATCCATAAAATAGAGCGACTAAAACTTTCACTGTCCAGACCACAAGGTTTTTGTTTAAAAACAATAAGAAAGAAAGTGATTAAACATTAAGAAATGTGAGCTCTTATCACTTAGAACTGCCTGTTTGTCTTTTGCCTTAAAGGTATGGGATGCCATAGATACAGGTCACTGTTTGAACACCTATTCTTCTCACAGCGGTGCTGTCCGTGCTGCGCAGTGGTCCTCCTTTGGAAGACAGATCCTCAGTGGTGGCTTTGATTCTGAGCTTCATGTGACGGATGTTGAAACGGGTATTGTTTTATGTATTGTGATTAAACCATTGGATTTCATTCTAGCCCTGGCTGCCCCAGAACTGGGGGCATGACCTGGGCTTTCTGCACTGTGATTCTCTCTGTAATACACTCGGTGTTCTAACTTAAAAAAATTTCTTTGAGATAAATGCCATTCTAGTTTCAGGACTGCCATAAAACCAGCCCCATGACACGCTTCCCAAGCAACCCCAGAGGATGGATATTATAAGCTTAGTCTCTGCCAAGCCTCTTCATTTTATGTTACTACAGGGCCTGATAAAGGGATGGATTTTTAATAAACCTTTGACACTTCATTTGTACTAAAATGGATTTAACTTTATTATAGCATCGTTTGTGGAGAATCCATTTAGCATTTCTGTAACTTTACATTTTTGAAAGGCAATAAAGAATAATTCTGGCCCATGAGGAAACCTCTCCAAAAGAGTTGAGCTTTAATGCTCCAAATCGAAAAGGCATTCTGGTGAGATGGATTTGTGTCTGGACAAATCCTCGGGGGCCATTGGCTGAGAAGGGAGCTGCCCAATTTAGCAATACTGGGATTCTAGCCAAAAGAAATGGAAGAAAGGACAGCCCACAGAGGGTGGGTGAATGGGTTGGATTCTTATAGCCTATCGGTAATACAGGGATCATGGAATTGGAGCATAGAATTTAGAGCAGGAAGGGACCTTAGAGGCTATTTATTCTAGCTTCCTCATTTTACAGAAGAGGAAACTGAGGGCCAAATAAACAGTAGGACTGAGATTTGTTCCCAGGTCTTTTTGTTGTGAGTTCAGTGCTTTTCCTCCAAAAAGGATGTCAGATTTGCAACAGATCTTAAAGATCTAATATAGATCCCCTTCCTTTCTTGAACTCAAGACTTGAACCCAGGCAACCCAAACTCTAGGGGCAATGTGCTTTCCTTTAATTAGGAATTGTTAATTATAAAATTTTGAGTGTATTTGATTCTGTTTGGTCAGGGGGAATTATCTTTCCTATTTTTCCTTCTGACTTCCCTGTTTCTGTTGGTGGTTATCATTGACCCTTTCTTCTTCCTCACTTTTCATCTCCAGATAGTTTTGGGATTGTAGATCTAGAACCTAGAAAGGATGTCAGAAGCCATCTAATCCTACCCCTTTGTTTTATAGATGAAAAAGATTAAGTTCAACTTACAGTAAGAGGAAGAGCTATTTTAACCCAAGGCCTCTGACTCCAAATTCATTGCTCTTTCCACTGCATTGGGCTGCCTGTTAAGTCTGTTTGGTTCTACCTTTCCATCTGCTCTTAACCCCTTTCCCTCTGCTTAATCTACCCTTGTTGCCACCATCTTGAGAGAGGACCCCATCAACACCAGCCTGGACTATTACTTCTAAAAAGTCTTCCGACTGCCTCCTTTCATATTTCTGCCAAAGTAATCTTCATTATGTTAAAATTGTCTTCATTTGATCCTGTCTATTGCTGTCCTCAAAATCTTTTAATGGCTCCCTATTATCTAATAAAATTCAAACTCTTCTACCTGACACATATAGTTTTCTACCTATCCAGCTTTATCTTACAGTACTCAAAAAGACCCAAGAACAATGAGAGAGATGTGAAAACAAGATAGTCAATCCCTTCATAAACATTTATTGAGTATCTACTATGTTTAATGAACTGTGCTAGACATTGGATGTGTAAGGAAAAAGTAAAGCAACTTGCTGTTCATTTTGAGAAGGGATCATTTCATTCTTTCTGCTTGTATCCCCAGCCCTAGCACAATGGCTGGCCCATAGAAGGCACTAATTCAATACTTATCAATTGACTATTTGCCCTTGTGGAGCTTACATTCTATCTAGGGAGTCCACATGTGACAATTAGTCCAGTTTCACTGGATCTAAGCATGTGGAAGGGAGTACCATTGATCAGATAGGAAGAAATCATGAGAGAGGTAAAATAAAGGAAATGTATGAAAAGATAGAATTTGGCAGCCAGAAGGCACCTCAGCGATCATGTAGTCCAACCCATCGCCCAGAGGAATCTCCCCTGCTGCCCTCCTGGCAAAGTGGTTACACCTGACGAAGTGGTTACACCTGGCAAAGTAGTTATCCAGCCTATGCTTGACCACTCCCGAGGAGAGGGAGCCACCTCTTCCTAGGGAAGCCCATTTCACTTTCAGAGAGCTTGGATTGTGAGGAAATTTTCCTGACATCAAGCCTAAATTTGCTTCTCATTCTACTCATTGCTCCCGGTCAAAACAAAACAAGCTGAATTCCTCTTCCATGTGTCAGGCCTTGAAGATAGTCCTCATTCTACACCGCACCCCCTAGTCCCCACCTTCTGTTCTCTGGGCTAAACCCCCCATATTCATATAGGTGGTTCTAATATGACATGGACTCAGGGCCCTTTACATTATGGTTGTCCTCTGACACACACTAGTTGATCAGTGTTCTTTAGCTCTGGCACCTAGAACTGAACCTAGTACTCCTGGTGAGGTCTGACTGAGGGACCATCATCTCCTTATTCCTTGAAGCTTCTCTTCATGCCGACCAAGGTGGCATTAGCTTTTTTAAGTTGCCATGTCATCCTGCTGACCTGTATTGAACTCTCAATCCTTGAAAACACCTAGATCTTTTTTTAGACAAACTGCTGTCTAATCATGCCCCACCACTGTGTACTTGGAGCTAATTTTTTGCACCCAAGTATAAGGCATTTATCCCTATTGAATTTCATTTTATTAGATTAAGTCCGGTGGTTTGGCTTGGCAAGATAATTTTGGGTCCTGATTCTGTATGTTAGTTGTCCCTCCTAGTTCAGTCATCTTCAAATTTGATGAGCATGCTGTCTGCACCTTTATCTAAGATGATTTTTAAAAATGAGCCAATTTTGGTGAGAGTGAGGGATAATGGAAGGACAGACTATGGGCTCCATCAGCATCCTCTCATTTTTAAGAGGAATTGAGTAATTGAGGCAGGCCTCCAGCACATTGGGTGGATCCTCTCCAGCAAACTGAAGGAAAGACATGAATGGTTTGTACTGTATATTTTTGTAGAGAACAATGATTACAGAGCCATTTGAATATTTGAAGGTGCCTTTTGTTTACTTAATTCCAGTGCCTGCAGGCTGCTGAGCATTGCATTGGATAGATTGCTGAACTTGGAGTCAGGAAGACCTGAGTTCAAATTTGGCTTCAGAAACTTACTATCTATGTGACCCTGGGCAAGTCACTTAACCCCTGTTTGCCTGAATTCTTCATCAGTAAAAGGGGGATAAAAATAGCATCTACTTCTCAGAGTGGTTGTGAGGGTTAAATGAGATGATATTTGTAAAGTGTCTTGCAAACTTTAACGTGCCATATAAGTACTAGCGATGATGATGATTATGATGGTGATGACGACGATGAAGATGGTGATGATGTCTGGAGTGCCCTGCTCATACTGTTCCCCCTCTTCATAGGATCAGAAGATCAGAGAATTTACAATTGCGCAAATTATCTAGCCAACACCTTTATTTATAGATGAGGAAACTGTTGATTTCCTATGCATCCTTTAAGGCTCAAATTAAGCCTGTACTTGGATCCAAAAAAATAGCTGCAGAAGTATAGGCCAAGAAATCTAGAAAGCAATTCATGTGTTAAAGATATAAAAGGCTTTAAGACTATAGGCTTAAGAAATGTGAGCAGGGTGATGTGGCTGCCAGATAAGCTTCTGCTCTCCTCAGGCCACGTTTATGAAATGACTGTATTCCAGGCCAAGGGAGTGGCAATTGTCCCTTTGGCTCAGTAAGGGCAGAGACTGCATTGCATTAATCTTCATTTATCTTGCTATGTTGAGCAGGGCCATAGGTGCTTAATAAAGGTTTATTGAATTGATTGAATCAGGAAAGGAGGAGAAGGCAGTGATTTGGAGTCATATGGGAGTCTCCTTTGCCTGTATTCAGACTATTTTTTTTTGTGATGGCAAATTACTCTGAATTGGAGTGCTCCCCCCTCATGCCTCCTCTCTCTCATTTCTCTTTCCTGTCCCACAAAGAGAACTGAGGAAGAGGGTGGCCAGAGGGGCCAAAGAGAAAGAGAACATTTCCTTTCTTCCTCCTTCCACCCTCCTTGCTTGCTTAAGTGCATGAAATGATAGATAGAGGCACACAGGGAGATGTAGGGACTGCCTCCTTAATAGTCTGTAATAGCATTTCCCATTCCTTTGGGAATTCCCTATTCCCAAATGACACAGCTCACAAAGTGCTTTCCCTCACAAACAGCCCTGTGAGGCAGACCAAACAAGTGTTGTGACCCCCTTTTTTAGATGAGGACACTGAGGCTGAGGGAGGTTGTCACCCGTCTGGCGAGTGATAAGAGTGAGGATGGGAACCCAGGCCTTTGACCTTCAGTCCCCAGCTCTTTCATGCATCTTTCTGCATCCTTTTAAAGTGCCTTGGGGCCATCAGGTGTGGTGGTCTCTGGGAAGCTAAATTCACCCAATCATTTGCACCCAGGAAAGGCAGCATGGAGTCAGAGGATCTAGATTACATGCCCAGATCTGCCTGTAACTTGCTTGGTGACCTTAGGGAGGTCACAGTCTCTGAGCCTTAGCTTCCTCATCTGTCACTTGTAGAGAATAATATTACCTGCATTACCTACTTCACTGGGGTAGAAAAATCTGAACTCTTACAGACCAATGGTGTGTACCCGAGGCATCAACTTTAGTACCTTCTCCCCTCCCTGTGCCAAGCTTTGATCCAGAGTCTCTTTATACTCTGCTGTCCCCTTTTTGTGTCTGCTTTTTTCCTTTACTCTGTAGGCTATGCTTTTTTCTCCCTCCACCTCCCCCGCCCCAACAAGGTTTGCTTACTCCCATCACCCCTCCCAGTCTAATAGAAACACACAAACAACGTAATGTAATGGGTTTTGTTTCCCAGCAGTTCCCAGGGACTTATCCACACAGTGTCTGTTGTCATTAGTGGGGATTTGGCAGTGAGGACATTTATTCTGGGGTTCAAAATCAATACTGTTAAAAATCTGTAGATTATAA